CCCCAAAACCCCAAAACCCCAAAACCCCAAAACCCCAGAGATTTTATAAATATAAAAATGGAAAATAGTCAGAGATCTGATCCTCAAGAAGCCGTTGCAAGCACGACTCAGGATGAAGCCAGGGTGACCACAGGCAATGAAGAGCCTAAGCAATCTGAGGTGGCTAAGAAATTGATTAAAAAGTGTAATTTAAGCAGATTTAAAGCCATTTAGCACAGTCTGAAGCCTTCTTGAAGAACAGGATTAAGGAAAATTAGAAAATTAAAGAAGAAGGCCTTTTTGGATAAACTGAAGCATGAGGAGCATGGAGGGAGTATTATGAAGTCATTAGTATGGTTCATTGCCTTTGTTTTTAGGAGATATAGACTTGGGCTTTTGGATATTTAGATTTTGAGGTGTCTGAGTTGATTTTTGGACATTTTGCCTTATATTGATGAGAGGAAAATTATATAAAAGTCCATTTTATAAAAATATTATTTGAATTTTTCATCTGTAAATAAAAATCTTTACTAATTATATATTAATTCTTTCTTATTCATTTCAATATTTCCATTAGGAAAAACATGCTCAAAACTTTGAGAAGAAAAGAAAGGAAGAAGTACTTTTCTAAATAATCCATAGTTGACCAAAATAATGACTGAGAATCAAAAAATCTTAGCTCGATTAAAATAACAGAAAATCTTACCTCAACGTACAAAAGATGAAACAAGATTTCAAAAAGACTGAAGAAATAAGTAGAATGATTTCGAAAAATCACTATGAAATTGCCCAAAAAATAGGTAATCATTCCATCCCAACACAGCCTAACTGTAGTAGCTAAGAAGAACAAGAGTCATAAGTCAAGAGTCAGGTATAACAAGAGTCAGAACACCAACTCTTTGCCTAACATTTCAAAGCATGTGAATAAGAAAAGTATGTATTCTATCTCTCTGACATCCTCTAGGTGTTGACATGGGCTTCTCAAAGGATAACCTAAAGGATGAGAAACAGGAAGAGCCTGTCAAAATGGAAAATCTTGAAGTTGAAGCTCCTCCTGAAGTGATGCAGAGTGATAGATATCATAAGAGTAATTTCCATCTAATGCCTAGATCCCCAGACTACAAGGGCAAGCATAAATTTGTCACCTATGAAGGTGAAAGATTCCTTAAAGAGTATATTTCCTTACAAAATCTAGATGCAAGCATGCCTGCTAAGAGAAAAGTTATATACCTGAAACCTCATAAGTTGAATAAGAAAGAATTCTTGATTGAGATCAGCAAAGCAAAGGCAAAGTATTATATCGTCGCCTTAAGGATTAATAAATCCCAAACTCAGCAAATCATTGAGGTAAGTACAGCTCTACAGGCTATTTTGGTTAATATTGATCTCCAGAAATAATGCTTATAAAGGTCCATTCCAAGAAAGCAAAGAAAATGATCAAGAATGCTGGAGGAATTCAAGGTCTTGTCCAACACTTAGGTCTCAAGTTTGGCAAAGTTGTTATAGAGAATATGGATAGACTTCTCACTCACCCGGTTGGTCTCAACCAAGACACTGAGCATGACCAGACATATGATGAACCAGGTGAACCTCATGCTAACGAAAATATTGAAATCCAAGATCCACAGCAAACTGAGACACCTGAGAAGCCAGTTCCCTGTGATAGTAACCAAGAATCCGCTACCAAGGAATCTCCGGCTGCTGCTCCAAATAAGGAGGAGGGAGAAGAAGATGATTTTGATAAAGCTCAGAATATACCGGCTACATAACTTTTATAAAATTCATAGAATCTCTACTATTTTCAAGGAAGTCTTCTCATAAATTTTCAGACTTAGTTTGATATCGACTCTGAAGCTTGGCTCACAATTGGAAATAGTTCAATCTGGCTACTACGTTGGGGTTTTGGGGTTTTGGGGTTTTGGGGTTTTGGGG